AGTCTCCAGGGCTGGTCCATCATGCAAGGAGGGTGTAGTGAGGTGGGTGTTGGTCTCTTCTCCCAAATAACAGGACAAGAGGGAACGGCCTTAAGTTGTGCCAGGGGAAGTTTAGGTTGGATATCAGGAAAAAATTCTTCACTGAAAGGGTTGTCAAGCATTGGAACAGGCTGCCCAGGGAAGTGGTGGAGCCACCATCCCTGGAGGGATTTAAAGGACGTGTAGATGTGGCACTTGGGGACATGGCTTAGTGGTGAACTTGGCAATGCTGGGCTTACCGTTGGACTAGATGATCATAATGGCCTTTTTGCAACCAAACCATTCTACGACTCTATGATTTCTGTAGACTCCCAGCTGCCATTCTCAACTCAGTACAATCAGCATCACAGCCTGGTTTCCTCATCAGTCAAAATGAGATTTGTCACCTGTTCTAACCCCTCTGTCCCCCATGAACAGTGACTGACACCTCTCAAGTTTTGTTGGAAGCTGGTAAGTACAGGAGACAGCCCTCTCTGCTTCCACCAGCAGGAGGAACACAAGCCCTTCCCAGTGAGGAACCCGCAGGTATTTTTGTTCACGGCAAAGGAATCTCTCTTTTTCTCCTATTTGCAGCAGCAGCCGAGATGCTGCTGTGCGAGAGAAGGTTGTTTACAGGTTAAGAGTGAACAGTAAGAAAACAGAGGAGTTACCAGTTTGAAGAAACATTCCTACACTTTGTCAGATGAGGTGTGAAATGGGAGGGAGGCAAGAGCTTTGCCAGAGTCCTCTGAAGGTGATGGATGCAGATTTGAGCAATGGGATGTCAGGGTCATTGTCTTCTCTAACTGCAGGCTGAGACAGGTGTCCGAGTATTGAACAATTTATTAGTGAAACCCTGGAATTAAGCTTCTGTTTTCTTCCTAAATTTGCAAGCTCTAAGAGTGAGCAGTATAAAGGTGTATGTACATGCAAATACACACACAAGTCCACACAACAGAGAAGTGTGTATGTGAAACCAGCATCATTTTACACACCAAAAGCAAGCCAGGGGAAGATTCTGCTCAGAGGAAGCCAGAGAGATCAACACCTTTCAACCTGATTCACCACAGGCAGCCTTGGAATCATAGAATCATAGAATGGTTTGGATTGGAAGGGACCTTAAAGATCATCCAGTTCCAACCCCCCTGCCAGCAGCAGGGACACCTTCCACTAGACCAGGTTGCTCAAAGCCTCATCCAACCTGGCCTTCAACACTTCCAGGGAGGAGCAGCCACAGCTTCTCTGGGCAACCTGTTCCAGTGTCTGACCACCCTCACAGTGAAGAACTTCTTCCTAATATCTCATCTAAACCTCCCCTCTTTCAGCTTAAACCCATTTCCCCTTGTTTTGTCATTAACTGCCCTTATGAAAAGTCCCTCCCCAGCTTTCTTGTAGCCCCTTCAGGTACTGGGAGGCCGCTATAAGATCTCCCCGGAGCCTTCTCTTCTCCAGGCTGAACAGCCCCAACTCTCTCAGCCTGTCCTCACAGCAGAGGTGCTCCAGCCCTCGCATCATCCTGGTGACCTCCTCTGGACTTGTTCTAGCTGGTCCATGTCTTTCTTGTGTTGGGGGCTCCAGCACTGGACGCAGCATTCCAGGTGGGGCCTTACAAGAGCGGAGAAGAGGGGCAGAATCACCTCCCTCGACCTGCTGGACACGTTTCTCTTGATGCAGCCCAGGAAGTGTTCCCAAGAGAAGCACATCTATTAACAAAAAGCTTAAAATAAACCTTGCAGGTGTCTGCAGCACTGAGAAAAGGGAAGTCACAGACTGACAAGTCAGACAGGCACTGACCAGGCACCAAGGCGTATCCTTTCACCTCAGACAACCCAGAGAAACAGCAAGGAGAGCACCAACAACTGTCCCAGCAGCTGGACCCATTCAAAAAGAATAAAAATTCCACAATCATAGAATCACAGACTGGTTTGGGTTGGAAGGGATCTTAAAGCTCATCTAGTTCCAACCCCCCTGCCATCAGCAGGGACACCTTCCACTAGACCAGGTTGCTCAAAGCCTCATCCAGCCTGGCCTTCAACACTTCCAGGCAGGGGGCAAGACCCTCTACACCTGGAGGATTTCTCTCCCAGAGCAATTATAAGCAGTGGGCAGCGCATGTGACAGAAAATGCTGCTCTCAATTTGATCTGAAATAATATTGATTTATTTAAATGCTCTCTTCTGCTATAATCAATGGTATTAACTCTAAATAAAGGGAGCTAAACAACAGGATATGAAGTTAACTGATCTGATACTCGTTACCTTAAGTATGGACTGAAGCATCTTCTCCCTTAACAGGAAATGTAATCGCTTGCTTGCTGATCTTACTCTGCTGCTACATGAAGCACTAACAGCTCCCCTTTAAACTCAGGACAGGTCAGAGCCAGCAAAAACATCTCAGAGAATTTAGGAGATGCTAGACAAGAACTCAAAACCTGCCTAGTCACCAATATGTCAACATTAAAGATGCTCACACTTCTTTCTGCCAACACATGCCATTCCATAAGCAAACGAGAGGATTTGGAGACTCCCATAGTGTCAATCCGAGCTCATTTCAGAAATACTTGGAGATGCTTTCTTTTGGAAGCATATGTGATCGTTCTAACTTATTGAGACTTTCCATATGCCACGTTCCTGTTCTAGCTATAAACAATCAGGAGGGAGGAAAAAAAAAATACCCCAATAAAATAAAAGTAAGTTTGGGAATAAAAGGAAAGAGCAATTCCAGGTTTCTCACAACAATAAAGCAGACACTTCATTGTAGCAGAGAAACGACAGGATTTCGGAGTAAAAGGCAGCTGACAGATTTTAGCAGCTTTCTTCAATGCTGCCTACCTTTTAGAGAGTGGACATCGCTGCAGGTCTCACTGCTGGGTTTTGTGCTCCTGAGAATCACCAAAACAAAGTCTTCATGAGTCAGGGAGATGGAAACCTGGGACAGCATGGGTAGGAAACTCTGTTCTTCTTTACAATTAAGGCTGCTCCCTATTGTCTTCAGACAAATCACAACCCAACACTGTTATTTTTAACAGGATTGTAATGAAAACTGCAAAGTCCATTCATGTGTATTTTTACCAGAATATTATCTGATTTAAAAAAAAATATCAATAAAAACACACTCTTGGTTCTTAGGAGTAAGCAGTTAGTAAATGAAAGTACCTGCAGATAGGCACTGGCTAGAGGGCAGGGTTACATACTCATTCCACCTCCCATCACCTACATGTTGTATGTAAAAACAAGCAGAAAATAAGACAATTTTTGTTATTAAAAGATTCCAGAACTGAAGGATCTTTGTATCAAGGTGATTATAAGAACAGCTACACAATACGGATGGTATAGTGCTACCTCCTCCCCCTGCCATCACCCCCCCTCGGTCCTACAAACATCCTACCTTCACCAAACCAGCAATTTTCAGCCACGTTTCTGTATTCTGGCAAATTATTTCACCGAGGTGGAACCTGACAAATATTAAAAATGTCAGTTACAGGATTAAATAAGGTTTTATTGTCACATTGAACTGCTTTGTCAGAGATGTACATTTTGCAGGTTTCTGTGCGGAATTAAAAAAGAAAAACGGTAGTTGCCGTCTTGTCAATTCTGATGTCGACATCCACACACCCAGAGCACCACCTGGACCACAGGTGCCAGCAGAGACCAGGGCAAAGTGCTCTGCTCAATGGATTGCAACAGTCAAAAGACAAAATGCATCAAGTTAAGGCTAATGAGAACAATGTAAAATTAATTAAAGCAGACCACTAGACGTTTATGAGATGGAAACACTCGATAGAAAAGTGGCAATTTTAACATCTTGGTTTTTTTCCAAAGTCATTTTGCTCAATTTAGTCCAGGTAAGGAGAGGCTGATGGACAGATTTTTGTCTACATATACTGAAATTTTAGTCATTTGTCAATATATTTATATCATTTGTCTGATATATTTAAAGCGACTGCTTTGTTTTTCCCGGTGTAAACCAAAGAAGTTGGTTACTGACACCTCAAAGTGATAAATGCTGAAGATAACCTCATCTTAAAATGTGTATTTTCTCACTTACACCTCAGGGATAAAGTCCAATCATACAAACTTCTTAGTGGCACAATTTCACATATTTTGGGCAATGTTAGCACACAAGCAGTATTTAAATAAAAATAAGTGCATCCAAAGATGAAATTCTCTTAATATACCACACTTCATTTATCCCAAATGGCAATTTTCTGACAAGAGCTGTAATTCAAATTAAAATAATAATTTACACATCTCACCCAGAGGAGAAGAGGTAAAAAACCCAGGGGACTCTCCAAACAATCTTCTCCTACCCTATCCCCTATTTATTACATAAAATAACTCATCTAGAAGCGTAAATCCAATATTCAGATGCAAATAAAATGCAAGAAGCAGTCTCTGATGTTTGTCACTTGCAGACTCCCAAGTCCAATCATGATGGAATTTACTACTTCTGTCAGTCATTTACTCCTGTATGTGCACTTCATATTTATGCTAAAACAACAAACGAGACAATAAATGAGGCTAGTGTGGCATAAAGTCATTGTAAACCCAGCGAAACCAGAATCATCATATTTATGACATTCATTTGGATGATTTACCAGTCATCCCACCCTCCCCCCCCCACACACACACACCCTTTACAGAGAAAAAAGGCAACCACCATTTTAAGTGATACACACATTCTGCTAGTAAAAAAAAGTTGAAATAAACCCCTTCTCTGTTAAAAGAGCACGCTGACAGAAGGAGGTCGACTGTATCTGTTCCAATCAGGCTCCTCAGAATTATCAAAAATTTCTTTGCTTGCAAAGGCCAATTTGGCTTACCATAAAAAGCTATTTTGAAGGCGGCTGATATATTGTATTCCCTTTCAAAAATTAAAATTCAAGGCATGATAGTGCAAGAGGTAAGTTTTGATTTGAGAACATTATTTGTAGACTAACTGTGCTTAGTTACTACATCCCAATTTATTGTCTTAAAGAAAATACGGCAACAAAAAAAAGCTACAAGTTCTCTATAAATTTTCATTTTGCCTAAATTTACCAGTACATCCATGAACCTCATCAGTATTAGTACAACTTGATTATCCTAATGATTCCATTATAAAACTTGCAAAATGTATCACAAGGTGAATAAACCATCTAGTGCAAGTCTTCTACATATTGTGTGCACAGGAATCCTGTGTAGTTCATTTCCTCCAGGTTAAATCCCCAAAATCTCTCTGTAACAATTATGAAAAAACAGTGTCGTGGGGATTTTTATTTCCCCCCCCTATCAAATCTGAGAAGTTTGAGTGTTCCTGGAATCACCATCGGGATGTGCTGAAGGTCGTGAATCCCTTGTCTGTGAGTATTCACTGTCAGAGGACTCCGTAGGTTCAAGCAAATTTTCATAATCACTGTCTTCTGATTCGTCAACATTGTCACCAACCGGATGGCATGGATGCTCCATTACCAGAATATTTCAATCCTGCATTTGTGGAAACATAACTAGAAGAACCTACTGCTTGAGGTCGAGGCATAAAAACATTGCTTTCCAGGAGACCATGAGCGACAGTACTTTCTTGACTGGTTGCATTGAAATCGGAATATGGAGGGGGAGGATCAGAGACATCTGAATCTTCAAGCGTGCAGCCTTCCACAGCAAATCCAGTGTAGGACATTCGTGGAACAAACATAGGTTCCAAGTTATCTGTTGGCATCTGCCTGCTTAACATTGCTTGCTGCATTCCTACAAAAGCAAAGAAAAGGGGTGTATTTAATGCTTACCCTGCAACATGCTTTACAGAGCACAGCTGGAACGTACCACACTCGCCCAGCCCTTAACGGTTCTCTCCTCTTTCTGGTTGTTACTGTTAGATGTTCACCCCTGGCACTGCTTTCCAACTCCAGCACTGGGTCACAGAATCACAGAATGTCAGGGACTGGAAGGGACCTCGAAAGATCATCCAGTCCAACCCCCCTGCCAGAGCAGGAACCTAAATGAGATCACACAGGAAGGCGTCCAGGTGGGTTTTGAATGTCTCCAGAGAAGGAGACTCCACACCCTCCCTGGGCAGCCTGTCCCAGGGCTCTGGCACCCTCACTGTAAAGAAGTTTCTTCTGAAATTTAAGCAGAACCTCCTGTGTTCCAGCTCACACCCATTGCCCCTTGTCCTACCATTGGGCATCACTGAGAAGGGCCTGGCTCCATCCTCCTGACATTCACCCTTAACATATTTATAAACATTAATGAGCTCTCCCCACATTAGGGGAAGGAAAAGGGTCTTTTCCTTCTCAGTCTCCACTATTCATCTGTGGCAATTCTAATTTTCACACTGATGACCATATGACACGTACTATCCCTAATCATCATGGCAAATATTGTTTATCACTACATCCTACTCTTTGAGCTTGACAAATATCATCCCTAAAATTAGCAGGACATCTATGAAACTCATCAGTATTACCGCAACTTAATTATCCTAACGATGCCATTTAAAAACAAAAGGTGTTGAGAAAGCGAATGCACTAAGTGCAAGTGTGCTCTGGTTTTATGTGCAGTCATCCTGTACAGTTTGTTTCCTCTGGTTTTAGTTCGTAAAACACAACTAGAGGAAGTTTCCATAACCTGTTGCTCTTTCCACTCCGTCTTCTCTCTGTTTCTCTGTTCCTGCTCACATCAAAAAGGAGTTATGTTAGGGTTCATCATGCCTGCTTCTCTCCACCTACCTCTCAGCCAGTACTGAAAGCTTGACTCAATTTTCATCAGACAGTATCACTTTATACTGTTGATATTACAACTTAAAATCACATCTCTCTACCATCTCTTAAAATGCCCACTGTGCTAGGGGACAATCTCATAAACACCAGCAAAGAAATTACCTTGTCTTCTTCCCTCAAATTATTAAAGACTTTCCCTCCCAATGTCTGTGATTAGCCCAGCAGGCTGCTGAGACCACTATCACGCTAACCTTCTGCCAGCCAAAGCATCTGTACTCACAGAGTATCTCATATTTAAGTTGCTAACTAGCTAGCTGAGCAAGAATCGGCTTTTCAACCTGTGTTTCTAGATCCACAGCACAGTGATCCACAATCAGGGCTCCTGTGCTAGTGTGACACTGGTAAGGGACGTTGCTCACCCTATCTGGAAAAGTCAGATACAATCATTAAAGTCTGGTCCCTATGAAAAGCCACACATAATGGGTAAAACCACCACTTCCATGATTTGACTTTTATTTAATTAATTGTGCTATATTGTAAGGTTGTCATAAATAAATTAGTCCACTAAGGCTCTCTCTTTCCAATCCATGTGGTTTTAACAATCAAAGCAAGACCCAAAGCCACAGATCATAGAATCATAGAATGGTTTGGGTTAAAAGGGACCTTAAAGCTCATCCAGTTCCAACCCCCCTGCCAGCAGCAGGGACACCTTCCACTAGACCAGGTTGCTCAAAGCCTCATCCAGCCTGGCCTTCAACACTTCCAGGGAGGAGCAGCCACAGCTTCTCTGGGCAGCCTGGGACACTGTCTCACCACCCTCACAGTGAAGAACTTCTTCCTAATATCTAATCTAAACCTCCCCTCTTTCAGCTTAAACCCATTTCCCCTTGTTCTGTCACTAACTGCCCTTATGAAAAGTCCCTCCCCAGCTTTCTTGTAGGCCCCCAATACATCTTGCCTTTAAGGATTTCACAGCATCTCCATGTTCCATAATGAACAGACAGTAACATAAGCACCATGAGGATAAAAAAAAAAAAAAAAAAAGCTGAAGAACTGGTTAAAGAACAATTACAATGGTTGATAGTCACATCAAGATGAAGCTCCCACAGCTCTCTGTACTGGAACTGGAAATACACTCGCATTAACAACTTAAATGATGGAATTTAATCAGCATATGCTTATTAAAATTACAGATAGCACTATGCTAGTAATAGCTGCAAATATACCAGATTATCAGCACAGGAATTTCAAATGAGATGATCTGGAAAATGATTTAAGGGAGAAAGAATAATGAACTGCACAAAAGACAAAATGAGGATCAGTTATGTCCTTCTGCAGAACAGAAACACAGGTTTACTGTTGATTTATGTAAACTATAAATATCAACACGTCTTAAGTGTGCTCAGCTGTTGAAAACCAGGCAACTATTACTTCAGTATGTCCTGTAACGGGCAAGACTACACCTGGAATACTGTATTTAATTTGGAACACCACAGTTTGAAAAACTGGAGAAACTCTACAAAAGAAAAGGACTCGTTAGAGGTTCAGTTATCATGACCAAAGAGGAAAGACTGAAATAATTGGGATAATTAGAGAAGACTGAGGAAAAAGTTTAAGTCTTCAAACGTACATAGGAGGTTGCTGCAGCAAGGCAAGCAGAAGGCAGCTTAAATTAGAGTGGTATACATCAGTGGTATACATGAGTAAAAACTTCGCAGGGAGGTTTGTTAAGCACTGGGAGAGACTTTAACTGGTTTCTAACTGGTTATTAACCTCCAAACATCTGTCAGAACTGACACCAGTGTATCTACAGCTGCCTTGCAGCTAGGTGATAGACAAAATAGTATCAGCTCTACTTACTGTAACACCATACTGCTGGAAAAAGCAAAAATCAAGGCTGAAGAGTTCCTTTAATCAAGTCAATTCGCTATCTCTTCAGTAATAAAAGGAATGTATTCCCTCAAGTGGCTATATAACATCACTCCATTTTTGATCCACAACACAAGAACTCTGGTGGGAGATTTCCTGGCATTTGGGAAGTGTGCAGCACTCACTATACCCTAGACCATGCTCCTACATGTACAGAATTACCTCAGTGATCTGGCAAGTGAAGTCTCAATTGACTTTTATGTGACAGTGTTAAAGTCATAACCTCTTAACCAAGAATTTGTAAGAATAACAACCTTTCACACAACACTACTGCAAGAATTTGAATCAAATGCTCCCTTCTCTTCCAGCTCAGAGAATGATTAACTGGAATATTTAACTCACTAAAACCAAGAAAATTCTCCCAATATTGAGAAAGCAAGAGAACAGAAGGCCAGCTTCAGTATTTAGCTGCTCACGCCTAAAAATATTAGAGAGACACAAGCTGTGTGTTTTCTTGTTTCAGCCCTCTCACGTGATCATCTGCTCTGGCATAAATTCCCAGTCCAGCATTTGCATCTCACTAGTAGTATCTAGAGGCTAGCACTGACTGCTCTTCCTCCTCCTCCCCCATCTTTCACCATATGGGCTGGAATCAGCTCCAGTCACACTAAATACCTATCTCTACTTCTCTCTAGCTCACGTAGTAGCAGCTCCCCGGCTGTTTCATCTACAGCCAAGCAGGAAACAGCAGTGACTCATGCCACTTCCATCTTTCAAATGGTCTGTGGCTGATGCTGGCTCTTTACCTTATCTTTGAGGTTCAGAGAAGGAAGAACCTGGGCTGGCAGGTCAAACTTTGCTCTCAAATGCTGATGTGATAAGAGCACCTTGCTGCATGGAGAAAATAAAACCATGGAGTCATAGCAGCAGAGAGGCCTGCTGCACAGTTTAGGGTGTTGACCCATCTAAGCCACCTTCAGGAACTGTGAAGCAGGAGAGGACTATAAAAATGTAGATGGTCTCTTCTAAATCAGTGGTGAAAAACCTGATACATCCACTAAAAGCTTCAAGATAAAAAATCACCTAGAAAACACTTCAGATGATCTGCATCAATATTTATCACTTAAGCACTCATTTTCCTTCACCCAGTTTGGTGTCCAATAACATAAGTGAACTCTAACTTAATAGGTGCTGGGCTTGTATTTGGGGATAGGCTTGGGGAGTGGGAAAGAGAATCAAGATTTCAAACAACCATTGACAGCTACTGGCCTGTAAACACAGTACCTTGTTTCTATGTAATACTTAAAATAAAAATAAATCTCTCCAGTGTTTAGGTTTGTTTTTTCCATTCCTGGCTTTGCTCCACTTTTCCTTTCCTACAACCAATCTTTTCCTGTGTCATTTGCAGAATTTACTTTCTCATTCTTTAGCTTTGTCTCTCTCCTATGCTTTAAGTTTGCTAACGCTGGATGACTCCTATGAAAACATCTGCAGAACACCTACTTTCCCAGTCCAGGTATCACTCGATGTAACTCCATCCTGTACCCTTCCCAATGTCACTTTTTTGCCTTTTGCTATGAGCTATCAGGAATATAACTCAAAACAATCCCACAAAATGTTTTGTCCTTACAGCCTCTGCTTCTGAAACAAACAAACAAACAAACAAAAATTAAAAGGCAACTTACTTATTTCTTGTTCTTTTTCATTCTTCTTTTGTGCGATTTGCCTTTTTAACTTGTTGACATCAGCTTGAAAAGATTCAACAACACGTTCACTTTTTTCTACATCTATACATACTGCCTAGGAGAAAAACATAAAATATGCTAAGATTTTGCAAAAATACAGGAAACACTTCCATAACAACATTAATAAAGCTACTACCAGACAAGAAGCCAGGAAAAGCACAAAACTAAGAGCAGGATTTAATTATATTAGAACATAATACTCAGCCTCAAGATTGTTTTCTTTACTGCCTGTTGCAAATTCCCAACTGCTGCCTGATAGGAAAAACATTTTCAAATAATTTATCATTACAGGAAGACTTGTAATAAGATGCAAAGTTAGTTCTTCCTACTTGCTGGAAGAGATTTGACTTATTTTTTTTTTTAAATACACTGTTGTTAGCAAAATAATGACACTAACATAGTGTGGTTTTTAAATGTTGCATAAAGGTACAAACCTTTGAACTAGACCAAACTCAAATTTGGTTATGAAACAGTTGACTCAAGAGAAAACGGTCCCAAGCTGATCTCTTAACTGATACTTCTATTAAATAAACAAGAACCATGGATTTTTCAACAAGATTTCCCTGTACGGGTTAGGAAATGAAGGTGAAATTTTCATAGAAGGATCTAAATTTAAAACCAGTTCTGGATAATATTGTTTTATTTTTTTTAATCTAAACACATTATACTGGATATTATTTACCTCTTCAGCAATTAAATATTGGCCATTATCATTAAATATGATCACTTTTGCAGAGTATGCTACTCTCAAAATCACTGATGAGGCTTAAAGAGTAAGTCACTAGCCATTTATTGTTTCTTCACCAAAAGGTTATTACTAGTGATCTTACTTAGAGAGCTGAAAAACATTAACTATGCTTTCAGTTCTGTATCTAATTTTTAGAAATTTATAAAGTTTAAACCCTCACAGTTAACAAGTGAATAATGCAAATACACGTGTCACAGCTGCTTTACCAGAAAACTTGTTTCCAGGCCTGTAACATTCTCTGTGAAACAATCACTTTAAAGATAAAAGTTCCTCAAGTTAGCTAACACCTAAATTACTTTGAAGCTCTGGAAACAATGCACAGCAGGATGACTTGCACGGTGAAACACAACCAAGTCATAGTTTTACCAGGTAGGAAGACAACTCCCTGATGATGTTAGGTTTTCCAGGCACTAATTCAAACAGCAGCAAGAACAAGAAAGGATATATGCACTCTTGGCAAAAAAACAGCATTACAGAATAATACCATTAGCTAATGGGATAGATCTCTGGAAATAAATCTTCCTGTCTCCTGAAGCTGGCATGAAAGCTGTCTGCCCGCTCCATGGGAGTTATTCACCTTACAAAGCAGGTTAGAAAGTAGCAATTCCAGCGAGAAACAGTTCTCCTGTGCAAGCAGGGTCAGGGGATGGTTGGAGAGATTACTGCCTTGATCTCAGCTATCTGTGCCAACCAGCAAAGCTAAACTGGAGCAGAGACACAAATCCCTCCAGGGCAGATGTAAAGGGAAAGCCTGGAAATAAGCTGTGACTACAGCACAATTAGCAGATGTGTGTGCTCCCGAGGCAGCGCCCCAACGCTGCTCTTGGCGCACAAGGAGCTGTGAATTGACAAACTTACATTTAGAAGATGTGACACTCGAAGGCACTTTCAGATGCTTTGCCACATTGGGAGCAGGATTCACTCATGCTCTCCACAAAAACATTCACAAGTTTGAACTCACAGATGGAGCTCTTTGCTGCATGCTATGTACCAAGAGCCAGGAGTCATTTTTAAACTCATACAGGCAAGCCTTTAAACCTGGGCAAATCCCTACAGCCTTCAGCCAGGCTTTTCTTCCACACATACTCTGAAAAATAGCTAACACCTCCCATAAATCACCAAGCATTCAATAATTCTTACTTGCAAAGGAGAAAGAATTGATGATATCCGTATCAACTGCTTTTCCAGAGGCCACTGTAGATGCACACGCTAACTAGAAACTGACACGTTATTAAAGGAAGTCAAACTTATTTCCCTACACTTTGTAATAAATTATTTATGAGCTCTAAAAATCTCCCTCTCCTGTGCTCCTGGTTTAAGCAAGGGACAAAAGATGCCACATACCTACCGATCAATGACAAGTAAAGGAAGTTACCTGTACTTTTTCCTGAAGTGCATTATAAACCTGATATATAGCCCTGATGTCCTTCATCACGCCATCCTTGTCAAAAAAATCAGTACTAAAGAAAAACAAAACAGAAATTATGAGTTAGAAAAGACAATGCAAGTTTCTAGCTCAGGCTGTCTTTGAATTGCTGTTAAGCAGCTTGTCACTATAGATCTAAAATGTATTTTATTTTATATTGCTAAAAACATACCACACTCTCAAGAACCAAGATGTGGACAGCAACATACCAAAATTCCTTCTGGAACCAAGAAGTCCCATTTGAATGAGATTAAACTTGTGCAGAAATCTTTTAAGCTTGTACAATTTCACTGTTAACAGTCAGAAAAGCTACTTTGCATTTACAGCATTTAAGTAAAATGACTTAAAACACCAACAGGACTTCAACTCTTCCAAATCAGAGTTCAAGTTTTAAAGCAAGCTTGTGCACAAAATTCCTTGGGGAAAAAAAAAGAAGATCAAGAATTCTCCAGCCAGAAGGTCCTCAGCACCAACTGTCCATACCAACTCTGCTTTTCTGATTAGTGCACTGAGTTCCCTTTTTTTTTTCCAAAAGGATTTGATTCTAAACAGAAAAAGTGCACTAGGAACCAACCATTCTCCTCCAGAACTAGGTTCTTCCTGCTTGAAACGCGTATTTGTACCATTCTTTGGAAGGCAGAGAATGTTGAGCTTGATGACTGTACTCCATCTGCAAAGGAAAAATCCTTACCCGTGTTCCTTAATAACTTTGGCATAATTCTGAGAAGTATTTGGCACTGAAGAAACTTTGTATTCCTGTTGACTAGTGTTGCCTAGATTAGGAATAGTAAGTGACACCCTTTGATTATACCTGTAGAGAAAGCAGAGCAAGAATTCTTAACTCATATTCAAAGATGATTTACAATAGCCTTTATATTATCCCATCTCTCTGTTGATCACAACTTGTCTAATTTAAAAACTTCTGGGTTAGATTTATTAGAAAAGCTGATAAATATTAGAAGTTGTGTTCAGAATGAATGCACAATCAAAAACTTCCTTGAGATGGACCCACCTCTGTACCCACCTCTTACAGCCTTTTAATTGTGCATTCAAACTACCACAGACACAAGAGGGGTGAAGCTACATTCAGATCTGTTATAAGAAACATGTTACTGACATCTGATTTCTCTTAAAATACATTAGTTCTGTTGTCTGAAGATTTAAAGACTGAAAAGAACTTTTGCTGACCCCAAAACTTTGATTTACAAATTATTTGCACAAAATAAAGTTGTCATCGCTAACAACTGTACGTTTGACAAATGCAAAGCCTTCTTTATGTGTAATTGTACAAACTTCAAAATAGCTTAGAGTATAAAGAATAAGAAGAAAATAAAGTAGTAAGAAGAATAATTTTTTAAAAAAGAGGATTGGTTCACTTATAGATATTGTTTACCTTCGGTTTGGTCTAAAAAGCACATATTCTAAAGCGTGTGTTGAGTTATTGGCAGTGGAAATGAAGCTGAAGAGAAGGAAGACAAGATCAGGCACTCCAAGAATGTGTGTCAGCTGTTTATGAATGATGTGCTCTCTATAGGACATTTGCTGTTGAGTGTTCCTCCTAAATCTGTACCATCCAATAACGTTCTGCAATCAAAGTAGACAGAAAAAAAAACCCCAAAGTATTAACTGAGACACACATTTACTTTCTGATAATAAAGTTGGTAACACTGTGGGATCATGTGAATTAGCCAATAGTTTTATCACAACAAAATTGGACTTAATTACTAGAGACTTGCACCTCTTAAATAACCCAAAACAAGTGACATCCTGTTATGACACAACCATTAATTGCTCAACCTGATTGTGCTACAAACACCTGTGTGTCCTCACTTCTAATATACTTCAATTGTTTAATTTTAGCCACAATTCTTGGAGTATCTTCAAACTATTAGACTTCAGCTGTTTTCAAACACAGCAGACGTCTCCTCCCCCTCTACTCTGCCCTGGTGAGGCCACATCTGGAATATTGTGTCCAGTTCTGGGCCCCACAGTTCAGGAAGGACAGGGAACTGCTGGAGAGAGTCCAGCACAGAGCCACCAAGATGATGAAGGGAGTGGAGCATCTCCCTGCTGAGGAAAGGCTGAGGGAGCTGGGGCTCTTTAGCTTGGAAAAGAGGAGACTGAGGGGTGACCTCATTAATGTTTATAAATATGTTAAGGGCAAATGTCATGAGGATGGAGCCAGGCTCTTCTCAGTGATGCCCAATGGCAGGACAAGGGGCAGTGGGTGTGAGCTGGAACACAGGAGGTTCCGCTTAAACTTGGGAAGAAACTTCTTTACAGTGAGGGTGACAGACCTGGGACAGGCTGCCCAGGGAGGGGGTGGAGTCTCCTTCTCTGGAGACATTCAAGACCCACCTGGACACCTTCCTGTGTGATCTCATTTAGGTTCCTGCTCTGGCAGGGGGATTGGACTGGATGATCTCTCGAGGTCCCTTCCAACCCCTGACATCCTGTGATTCTGTGATGTGGTTTTTCTTTAGCCCAAGTATTTCACCTGCCTATTCACACGTCTTGATTTGTAAGACATTGCCAGTGCGTCACAAACATATTTGCAAATTCATGTCTGACCAGGAGACGTATGAGACTAATCTGCTGTGTACAGCAATAAAATTACAGAATCATAGAATGGTTAGGGTTGGAAGGGACCTTAAGGAACATCTAGTTATCTCATTGTGTGCAATAAATGATGAACGATTCATAGGCACATCAGATAAGAGTCATTCTAATTCAATTATTATTTTGAATACAACATGTATTAAACTCCTTTACTTCATGTAAACTAACATTTAATTTAAGAAATTAATAAAAATGAACACATCATTAACAATTTGGTTTAGGAAGAGTCCCAGGAATAGGCACTATCATGTAGTAATGCATTAAGATTGTCTATATATTCAGCAGAATACAGCAGATTCTACAGATGAAACAATATGACTCCCATGTTAAATAAAAAAATAGGAAGCATTGTTTTTAACTTTTTATAGTGAATCTGCACAATTACTAAGTCTGAATGTAACAAAATGTGCTCACTTGCTAACATAAAATAATCTAAGACTGTCTTGGTTCCCAGACGGCAGTGTATCTTTCTTTTCTGACATTATGACAATGTCATTCCACCTGTAGTGCTTTAATCACATGACACTTGCAAGTTTTAATTTCTCCAGTTTTGCCTGTTTCCTCACCACAGATAATGCATCTTGTCTGAGTCTCCCTGCAAGGTAGGTCCTAATAAAATAAAATTCAACTGAAAACTAGTGAGACACAAGCATTTTTAAATTATGGGTTTTTTGCCTTGTCTCCTAAAGGGGAACTGAATATTCTCTGTAGTGTTCTAGAGTAGAGTTATGGGATTAGAGAATTCAGGATCTGAGACTGGAAACTCACTCCATCATCAGCATAAATATATGTCTATATATATAAATATTCACACAAAGCACATATGCACTAAGCATAAATACATTAGTATACATGGAGGGGTTTATTCTGAAAGTATTTGCTGGAAGAAACAGACAAGAAAAAACCCAAAAAGCATTACAATGATCATGCACAGATTTAGGACTTGCTTCCCTAAAGATCCCTCCTCAACTTAAGCCTTGTCTGTAAGCAAGTCCACAATTCAGGTGGGTAAGGTGAGCAGAAAGTCAAGATTGCAAATTCAATTAGCAACTGAGCAACTGCCATCATACACTTGGCATAAGGATGATCAATTCACATGGACCAGAGCAGTGGAAGTTCCACTTGAGTCACCTGTAGAGGACAGAAATCCCCAAAGCCCAACAGGCTGTGCCCTGACAGTTAGCTCTGCTGCTAGTGAAACACAATCAGCAGCTCTACAAGCAGCTGGAACGACACTGGTTTGCTGCTGCTTCGTAAAAATAAGTTAAACAAGAAAAAAAAGGTCTTGTTTTAACCACCTCTGCCTTGTACCAGCTCTGGCACTAACCAGATGTGGTGAGCCAAATTCATGTATTGGTGATGCTTTTCTGCTAGGTCTAACAAGATCCACAGCTGCCACAGATTTAACCATGCAAGGAAATTACCTGTCCTTTTGTTAGAGCGAGTGGACTGGTGGATTCACTTCACTGCCTAAGAAACTACACCTTCAGCTCTGCTCTTTGAGGTATCAGTTTACGAGAACTTCTGCAGCAGTTATTCAATAATTAGAAAGATAGTGCACTACAACTATGGGATGAGATGGAACACTGAAAAAAAGATTGACTCTCTTCCAAATAACTACTAAAATTTAATCTTCTTAATGCCAGTTGTGGTACTAACAACATATGTGTGACGTACAGATGTGGCAACATGTGTTCAATCATTGAATCATAGAATGGTTAGGGTTCGAAGGGACCTTAAAGCTCATCCAGTTCCAACCCCCCTGCCATCAGCAGGGACACCTTCCACTAGAACAGGTTGCTCAAAGCCTCATCCAGCTTGGATGAGGCTTTGAGCCTGACATCTGATGTAACTACCTCCTGATAGAACAGTTTGTCCAGTTTAAATCACAAAAATTGCAATTACAGGGCTATATCATGACAACTCTCTTAAATGAACTCTTTAAAATAGATTTTCAGATCAGCTACATGTTTCAACAGCAGAGTAGACAATCATTGTGCTACATGTTTAGCTCAGAAATTTGAGTGAGTTAGTACTAGCATTTGGAGACTTGGCCTTAAATCCTTCATATTTCTTCAGGGAATTTAAACATTGTCCCCAGTTTCACCTAAGTACCATAAATCCACCAACTTCTGTACAGGATAAGCCTTGGGTCAAAACAAACCATCAAATTTGTGAAAGAAAATATTTCTTCTGGTTAATTACTTTTTTGCTTGTTTGTTTTCCAAAACAGCTCTTTCTAATTATAGGTTCTAATGACTAGAACAGGAGGAAAAGATAGAAAACTTACTTTTCTTCTGTCTTTAAGAATCCTGTCCAAACTCTCCTCGTTAACTTTGCCTGCGTAGTCATAAAAGCTTGAACCAAAAAAAGGAAGAGAGAAAGTTAAGTACAGAGTTTACACACACACCCATTATACATAAAGTAAATAATTTATACATATATATACATATAATTTATTTTGCATAGATGGTATTCCATACATTACAGAGCAACTTCTACAGTTTTACCTCTATCATCACAGGTCAGTGTTCCCACCACCTACTTAAGACATCCAACCTGTGTGCTCTATAGAGCAGTTAGAAGCCTGAATTTGACCGCACAACTAATAGGCAGAGGCAGCTGTTTACAGAGGAAGGTGCAGAGCATGAAATTAAGATACATATGGCTAGCTGGTGTGAAAACTCTAACCCCTTCTAAACCACTAGCAGTGAAATACAAGATGCCTGTAATTATTAAAATGTCTCCATTGCACACCTTAGTTTGATGCCTGGGACTTCACTGCCAGCCCCCACAACAAGGGGTACGTAGATAAATGAACTGTGTAGTTTTATTTTGACTGGCATTCTGTGAAACTCTGCTTTGACAATAAGCTACCTGCCAAAGACAAAAGGAAAGCAGGACTATTTTACATGCAGCTGCAAATCAATTGCTTGAGCTCTAGTCCTGCAATTAGACTCAAATGACTTGAGTCTAGAAGCTAGAACAGTTTTATTGAGGTTAGCAAGAATCCAAAGTATTGTGGTCTTTCCATATGGCTCTGCTTACAGAACTGAGGCTCAAACCATGACAAGTTGTTACTCTGAGGACATGATAGATTTAAGAATTTATAAATTTATCTACAGATAGGTTTATAAATTCAAGTAGATCACACTTCATGATAAAAGAAAAAACATTTGAAAAATAGATTCCTCCTTGACTTACCTGCCAAGTCCTTAGTCTCTTTCAAGAGCTGATATCACTAACACCTAAAGCAGTGCAGGAAAACACTCTGTTTTAGAGGTCTATGATCTCAACTCTTGTGTGTGGGGGTCAAAAAAACAAAACAGAAAATCCTGAGCTCAGTACTTGGCTGGTAAATAAGGGTGGAAATAAAATTTGTTTTAAGGTGCAAGTTATTTTGAATATTAAGGACTACAACAAACTACTAATTTGAGATTCTACATAATCATAGAATCACAGACTGGTTTGGGTTGGAAGGGACCTTAAAGCTCATCCAGT